GCCTTCTGACACACTTCCGGTGATGTCAGGGGGTGTGGCCTATGCAAATACGTTATGCTAATGAGTTGTGCTAATGAGCTCCTGCACCTCTTTTTCTACGAAATGACCCCTGAACATGATTCCCACACCCCCAGTCACTTCATTTGGGAGGCTTCAAGAGGGAACTGGATAAACATCTGGAGCAGAGGTCCATCAGTGGCTATTAGCCACAAGGTATAGATAGGAACTCTCGGTCTGGGGCAAGGGATGCTCTGTCTTCTCGGTGCTTGGGGGTGGGGGCAACAGTGGGAGGGCTCCTAGTGTCCTGGCCCCGCTGCTGGACCTCCTGATGGGACCTGGTATTTTTGGCCCCTGTGTGACACAAAGTGTTGGATTGGACGGGCCATTGGCCTGATCCAGCATCGGCTTCTCTTATGGGTGTGGCATGAGGAGAGGCACATATTTGTGTGTGGTCACACTGGCAGCTTGGCGCAATATGGTGCCGCCTCTAATTGTACCAGTTCAAAGTGTTGCGGGGACAGAGAGAGAAACAGAGAGAGAGACAGAGAGAGATTCACTCAGCATCCCATTGATTCCAGAGCCTGGGTGCCACCTCCAAGAAGACCCTGTCCTTGATAACCTGGCCTTCAGTGAAGAGAAGGCTAAGAGTGGACCCAGCTGTTTAAAAGCAGCCAAGAGAGACTGATTACCCCAAGGCCATCCAGCAATCCTCACGGTTCAGCGAGGAATTCAACCAGGGTCTCCCCAGTCCGAGTCTGATACCCTAATCACTAAACCACACACACTGGCTCCTGATGATTCTCTTTTTTCCCCTCATAGTTTTGGCATCATTTTATTACGGATGTTTATCTGTTACGACATACGGGAGTTTATCTTTTAAATGGCTTCTAGGGTTCCATTGAAACCGTAAAGCAGGAAGAATAAACACTGACGCTATCGGGATGATTTATTCGCTCTCCTGAACCATTCTGTATTCTGTCCCAAAGGGCTGTGCTGGCCGAAGCGATGGAAAACCCTCTCCAGAATATAGATCAAGACGGCTAGCTGTGTTAGTCTGAACTAGGGTGATGGAGAAGACTCTTGAGAGTCCCTTGGACTGCAAGGAGATCAAATCAGTCAATCCTAAAAGAAATCAACCCTGACTGTTCCCTGGAAGGCCAGAGACTGAAGCTGAAGCTCAAATACTTTGGCCACCCAATGAGAAGGGAGCCCTCACTGGAGAAGAAGACCCTGACGCTGGGAAAGATGGAAGGTCAAAGAAGACGGGGACGGCAAAGGATGAGATGGTCAGACAGTGTCATGGATGCAACAAACATGAAATTGAGCCAACTTCAGAGGATGGCGGAAGACAGGAGGGCCTGGCGTGATCTGGTCCATGGGGTCGCAAAGAGTCGGACTCGACTGTGCGACTGAACAACAAAAAAGCAGTAGAAAAGAACAAGAGCCCAGCAGCACCTTAAGGACTAACAAAATTGGCAGCAGGGGATGAGCTTTTGTGAGTCACTGCTCACTTCTTCAGAGACAGCTAGAATGGGAGTCCATCTCTCCCTATATCTTGGAAAGTGGAGTGATTTCAGATACCGAATGACAACAGCAGGCAAATAACAATAGCAAGTGAATGAGGACAATAGCAGGTGTAATCGGATTAGGTGCCATACACAGAGGCATTGAGAAATCAGCATTGGTAATGAGACAGGAAACCTGGGTCTCGATTCAGTCCAGGAGGATGCATTGTCTTGAGCTTCATTATCAGTTGCAGTTCAGCAGACTCTCTAATCTCCCTCTGAAATTTGTTTGTAAGAGAACCGCTGCTCTTAGGTCAGCAACTGAATGCCCTGGAAGGTTAAAATGTTCCCCCACTGGTTTTTGAATGTTGTGGCTTCTAAGTTCAGACTTATGTCCATTTATTCTTTGTTAGACATTTAAGTCTTTAAGATGCTACTGGACATTTGCTCTTTTCTACCTCTCAGGAATTCCTTCCCAGGGAAGAAAAAAAGCAACACAGGCCCACAAAACTATGAGATGGAAGGTGACTTACTCCAGAGTCAAAAGGGTATGATTCACCTTCAGTCCTTCTGCCAGGGCCGCTGCACCCGCGTCTCCAACACAGTTACCAGAGAGTCTGAGAAGGGGATAAAAAGAGCAATTAATGCATGCCAAATAAGCGTTGTTTTAGCATCTGAACCCAATCCAGGATCGGAGGACTTAATTTCATCTCTACAGATGGCTGCTGTGAATATTCTCCACCTTTGATCCTCTTTTGTGAGATGGGAGCCACACAGATCTGCATCACGGGGTTGCCGCGGGGAGCTCGAGGTTAAGGGAAGGTTATGGGCCCCCGAGAACAGAGAGCCATAAATATACAAAATCAAAATGACCCTAATAGGGGAACGCAGCTGCAGTTTGTAGCAGGGCTGTAGTACCGGGGAAAGTTTTGTTTGTTTCAACTCTCCCCATTTCCCTGATTGTCCCATTCTGGGGGTTCCTATTAGCTTTGGTGGCAGGGTAGAAAAAAAGGATGTCTCGCTCTCTACCGGGCAAACAGCTACCCAGGAAGGAAAGCCGTTGCAATAAGGTTTCCCTTGCTCAAAATCTGACTCTAGGGATGCGGTGCTCATCTCCATTTCCAAGCCGAAGAGCCAGCGCTGTCCGAAGACGTTTCCGTGGTCATGTGGCTGGCATGACTAAACGCCGAGGTGCACGGAACGCTGTTCCCTTCCCACCGAAGCTGTACCTATTTATCTACTTGCGATTTCTTACTTTCGAACTGCTAGGTTGGCAGGAGCTGGGGCCAGAGACGGGAGCTCACTCCATCTTCCGGTCTGCAGCTCAGCACCTTAACCTCTGTACAAACAGCTTTGCTGACTTTAGCACTAGACACAATGCGCTCTTCCAAAAAAACAAGTGTGTGTCCCTATGGCTTTGTGGGTTTTTCCCCCTTTTCTGTGCGTGTTTTGCTCCCTCTAGTGGTCCAACTTGATATTACGTTGCTTTATGGCCGGCATATCTCCCTGCAGGTTTTTAAGGCTGGACATAAAGCAATGTAATATCGGACGGACCACTAGAGGCAGCAAAGCAGATGTGGAAAAGAAGCCCCGAAGCAACAAGGACACACAAACGAAGAAAATGTGACACGGGTGTCATTCTCTGCTGGTGGATGGATAGTTTGCTGGTGAAATGGGAGGGAGGGGGGATGTGGTGGGGCAATTTCCACTAATCGCCCACTCTCACAGCAGACCACCATATTGTGCCCAGGGGTGGGTTGGGGAAAGAGCCAGGAAAACCCATTTCCGCAGTCCCCTCTCTGCTCACGGTCCTTGTGGAATGCAAGCTGGCCTCTCAGCCTTCCCTTACATTAGCTCCTTCAGGCCCCAATTCTTCTTCAGCGCCTCTGCGAGTTTCTTGGAGCCTTGGGGCCCAACGCCGTTCTTCTGGAGGCTACAAAAGGAGAGGAGGCCACACGTTAAGCACGGCGCTCAGCACCAGGCCACAGATCAGCACCTGCTCTAGGTGAAGGGAAAGAAAGAGGGTGGAATAACTACCGCTGGACAGGTAGTCCACATGGTCAGTCTTGGTTTCCTCCTGAAACAACAACCCCTTTTAAAAGGTGATTCATGTGTGGCCACCCAATGAGAAGGGAGCACTCCCTGGAGAAGAAGACCCTGATGCTGGGAAAGATTGAAGGTCAGAGAAGACGGGGACGGCAAAGGACGAGATGGTTAGACAGTGTCACAGATGCAACAAACATGAAATTGAGCAAACTTCAGAGGACGGCGGAAGACAGGAGGGCCTGGCGGGAGCTGGTCCATGGGGTCGCGAAGAGTCGGACTCGACTGTGCGACTGAACAGCAACAAAAAATCACATTTTTCTCCCGCCCTTTCCTCCCGAGTAGTTCAGGGCGGCGTGCAAGATTCTCCCTCCAGAATGATCGTACGGCATGGCATAGAGAACAGCAAAGAGAGACTAAGAGGGTTTTTCTTTTCGGCTAGGCTGAACGCTTTCCCCTATGCTGCAAGAAATCCCTGCAAGGAGAAAACTAGCATATCCAGAATTCGGCTAAAGTAGAACTTCTGACTCTAATGCATTCGGTTTAGCGTCGGGGTGTGTGTGTGTGTGCCCCCCCCATCATTTGCAGTCTGAAACACACGGCCCCCTTTGCCACCAGAAATGCTTCTTGAAGGTAACGGCCCCACCCAGCTAACTCCTCCACAACCTTTCAAATTCTGCACCTGGGTGCCCCCTAAGATGTTGTTTCACGGTCCATGACGTGGTGACGTAACTAGATCGTACGGCAAAAAAGAATTAAGACAAATCAGGAAAGCGGGGTGAGGGTGGGGGGCAGTGTTCCCTCTAAGCTGAGTCCGTGTGAGCTAGCTCACAGTTTTTTTAGCCTCCGGCTCACACATTTTTGTCTCAGCTCAGGAAGGATGGCTCCAGAGCAAACTAATTTATGCAGCAGCCAAATCTCATGTGAATTCTCTTCCCAATTATTGGCTACTTCCTGCAAAGAATGGTGGGGAAACCATATGGAAAATATAGTGAAGGCTTCAAACCACCAGCTATTACTTGGTAACTGCAATCACTGGGAGAATAATATGATTGTCCGAATCTACCCTTTTTAAAATTGTTACATTTTAATTTGTATTATGTATGTTTTATCATGTATTTATGTTATTGGAAGTCGCCCTGAGCCTGCTTGCGGGGAGGGGGGGGTAGAAATCAGACAATTAATAAATAAGTAAAGTGTACAAACACTGGAATCCTAAAACATCAGCCAAAAAAAAAAGGCATTGGCAGCCAGTGAAGACAACCTGCAGAATCAAGAGGTGACTTTCGGTGTCTGTAGGCAGACGGCTGAATGGTGAAGGGAACGCCCCTGCCAACTAAGGTGGCCAACTTCCAGGAGGCAGCTGGAGACCTCCCGGGACTACAACTGATCCCCAGGAGACAGAGATCACTTTGGAAGTCGCTCCACCCCCAAAATCTCCAGGTATTTCCTACCCCAGAGCTGACAACCAGTGTTCCCTCTAAGCTGAGCTAGTGTGAGCGAGCTCACAGTTTATTAGCCTCCAGCTCACAGTTTTTTGTCTGAGCTCGGGAAGGACAGCTCCGGAGCAGACTAATTCATGCAGCACCCCAATCGCTCGTTCACAACTTTAATGCCGGTAGCTCACAAAGTAGTATTTTTGCTCACAAGATTCCACAGCTTAGAGGGAGCATTGCTGACAACCCTACTGCAAACGACTGTGATGTCTGCTCAAAGTGCAGGGTTGGCTCTTTTTCGTACCATGTTGAGAACGTCGACATCTGTAGACCTCCTACGTACCCACCCCCGCAGCCCGAGCGGAAAAAAGAAATTGGAGAAAAGGTAGGCTGTGGTTCGTTGCCCGGCACTTTCTGCCCAGTTAGGCAATCAAGCATCATAAGAATTCAATTACGGAACCTGCCGATTGTGTCTGCTGGGATTTGCAGAGCCCTGGAATGGGAGCCCAGCTCCCCCGAGTGGCCTTTGCAGCCAGCCGCGTGGACCGGAATGGCAGCAGCCCAGAAAGAAAGGGAACAGGTGGGTAAAGGATGCGAGTGGAGCAGAACACAGGAAGGCACTCAACTGCAAAGTCCTCAGCGTGTGGTTGCTGACGAGGGCCTCGGCCAGGGATTTCGTCCCGTCTTCCTTGATCACGTTGTTCTGGAGGCTGTAAGAAGACCGCTCGCTTCATACAAGGGTCGTGCAATCGGCAGTTTACGGCTACAGAGAGGCAAAGCCTTGCCACTGATTAGGGCTGCTCGAAATATGCTTGTTCACCCAGCCAACGTCTGCACCGTTTGGACACACCATTCTGCCTCCCTGCCGCTCCCCCTGCTTGCTGCTGCTTCCTGGCACCATTTTTATCACCTTCTTCGCCCCCACTGGAGCAGGGGTCATTTCCTGCAGGAAATGAGGGCTGCTGGGAACAGGGGGCCGGGCTTGTTGCATGTGCCCCACCCCCTGGGCTCTTTACTGCCGGAGCGCCGCTCCTGTGCGCTCCCGCAGGAAGTGACCCCTGGGGCTGCCACCGGGAAATCTCCCACCATTACAGTTGATCTAGCCACCTGGATAAAATAGCTGCTTTGGCGGGTGGACTCAATGGCATTATACCCTGCTGAGGTCTCTCCCCTCCCCTCCCCAAACCCCGCCCTTCCGAAGCTCCACCCCAAAATCTCCAGGTATTCCTTACCTGGAGCTGGCAACCCAATGCTTGAACATTCTACCATATCCAAATTTGCATTCTCTGTTGGGTCAATCTATCCATCCGTCTTCACTTAAGCCTCACTGGGATCCCGTAAGGCAGTATAGAGTGGGAGGAGAATGGTTAGCCCAAGACAGGGCTTTTTTTGTAGAAAAAGCCCAGCAGGAACTCATTAGCATATTAGGCCACGCCCCTGACAGCACAACTCATTTGCATATTAGGCCACACCCCCATGTTACCGGAAGTGTGGTCATCCAGCCACGCCCACCTTTTGCTTCTTATTCTCTTTACCTTGTTTGTTGTCAAAACCCAGGGCTTTTTGCATGTTAGGCCACACACCCCTAATTGTAGCCAATCCGAATGAGTTTCTGCTGTTGGGTGTGGCCTATTATGCTAATGGGTTCATGCTGGGCGTGGCCAACTTGGGAGCCAGCCGGAACTCCGTTCCTGTGCGTTCCTGCCCAAAAATAGCCCAGGCCCGAGATCAGCCAGCAAGGTCCACGGCAGCGTTGGGATTTGAACCCGAGTCTCCAGGGTTCGATTCACCACTACTGTCCGACACTGGCTCTCAGAAAGCACAGCATGAAAGCGAGGACCACTTACTTTAGAGAAAGCAAACACTGGTTGATTTTCAAGGAATCCGCAAGCGCCTTTGCTCCGTGGGGTCCGATGGAATTGCTCCGAAGACTAGACAGTGAGAAAGGAAGGAGGAGGAGAAAGGCTGGCACTGACATTATCTAATAGCCTGGAAGAGTTTTAGACATCGGAATGGCCGGGATCAGCCCGTGGGCTGCCGCCTGCCGCTACCCTCTTCCATATCGTAGGGACAATCCCGACACTATCAGAAGGTGGCTGGCGAAACATGGGGACGGATCATGAACTTACTCCAGTGCCAGGAGACTCCGGTTGACCATCAGGGACCTAGCCAGCGCTTTGGTGCCTTTGTTGCTGATCTGGTTTTCTGCCAAGCTGGTGAAGAGATGCACAGGGACAGAGGTTCAATAACCAAAGGAACAAAACCATGCACTTTCCTAATCTAGAGTGGGGTGCGTTCAAATGGGCTCCACACCCAATTGGGGGGGAGGTAATAGTGGTGGTTAGGGCACATTGCAGGGGACGCTCTAGCATTTGAGGGAAAACTCTATGGTTACCATAGAGGTTTTTTCCCCCTCAAATGCTAGAGCGTCCCACTTGGAACGTGCCCTGCGTGATGATATCACCTCCAGGTGACGTCGTCGGGCTGGGCACGTCGGTGCGGATGGGGCCGCTGGGGGCGGGGCTCCTCCCACCGGCCACCTGAGCATTGGCAGATTGGGGGCCCCAAAAGCGGGGAAAAACCCACCCACATCGGGGGGGATGGCAGCCCTATCCCAGGTCCTAGTTCAGCCCTCTGGGTCACATTAGGACTCTGTAAATCTCCAGCGCTCCATCTCCCGCAACGGAAATGATACCTAGAAAGGTCTTGTGGCTCTTTAAAAGTGGACAGATCTATGATGGCATATAGAACTTACAGAGTAAGGCTTTATGCCATGATAAATCCGTCTGTACTCGGGATGCCTCAAAGACTTCTGTTCTTGGTTTTTTATTTTGTTTGTCTGCTGCAACAGACAACAAACAACTTGGGGGGGGGGCGAAGAAGAAGAGGAGATTGGATTTGTACCCCGCCCTTCATTACTCAAAGGTGTCTCAGAGCAGCTTACAGTCTCCTTTCCCTTCCTCTCCCCACAACAGACACCCTGGGAGGTAGGTGGGGCTGAGAGAGCTCTTTCGAGAACTGCCATTGAGAGAACTTGTGACTGACCCAAGGTCACACCAGCATCCCTAACAAGGGATACTCCAAAATTCAGCTCATTCTGTCACTTTGATCTAGATGAAGAAGAGACTGGATTCATACCCCGCCCTTCACTACCCAAAGGTGACTCAGAGCGGCTTACAAACTCCTTCCCCTCCCCACAACAGACACCCTGTGGCTGTGAGGCAGGTGGGGCTGAGAGAGCTCTGACAGAAACTCCTCTTTTTCAAGAACAGCTCTGCCAGAACTACGGCTTGCCCAAGGTCATCCAGCCAGGTGCAAATGGAGGAGGAGTGGGGAATCAAACCTGGTCCTCCCAGATTAGAGTCCGCGCACTTAACGACGACACCACACTGGCAAGGGGGAGAAAACGGGGTTAAAAACTCAGGCCCAGGAAGTGATGCTGATTTTCTTCATGTGCCACCTGTGGTATAGTTATCGTATATATCGCAGGGCTTTTTTTCTGGGGGAACTCACTGAGACGGAGTTCCCGGAAACTCTCCGACAAAATTCTTTTTAAAATGTTTAAAAGTTCATGAGTTTTCAGGACACGGATTGAAAACTTCATTTCCCTCTTGAAGGTTCTGGCACCTCTTTTTCAACAGAAGAAGAAGAAGGAAGAAGAAGAAGGAAGAAGGAAGAAGGAAGAAGGAAGAAGGAAGAAGGAAGAAGGAAGAAGGAAGAAGAAGAAGAAGAAGAAGAAGAAGAAGAAGAAGAAGAAGAAGAAGAAGAAGAAGAAGAAGAAGAAGAAGTGTCCTATATATATGTAATGGAACAGTCTGCTCTCCCCCTCTGATATCTGTGTGATTTAGTTTGGTCCTATGGGGTGGAGCGCCTGTTTCAGTTTCCAGCTTTGTATGTCAGCAGTAGTTGGTTGTCGGAGTTGTTCCCTTGCAAACAAACAGGTGATGTTTTGAGCCAGCTTGTCTCTGCTGAGTGGGCCTGAGGAGGGGTACCCTGAGTGAGAACGGTTACACCACCGATGCAACGCCTCCTACTTAGGTTACTTCAAGCAGTCACTCAGGTGGCTCGGCCAGAGAACCAGTGGCAGACTAAGCGAACTGAGCATGATTGGACTGCGTGTGGGATATTCAGGAGGTCGACCTGGAGATCACCCATATCACCTGATCTTCTGGATGTGGCAGTCCTTTCCGCTCAGCACGCTGCCCAGGAGATCCATGGCGCTGTCTTTAAACCGGTTGTTGTCCAACCTGAGACGAAGAGAGAAGGTAGCGCGAGATGGAAGGGTTTAGGTCCAACGCTCCCTCTCAGCGGTGGAGTCTTGTGAACAAAATTCCTACTTTGTGAGCTACTGGCATTGAAGTTGCGAGCGAGCCATTTGGCTGCTGCATAAATCAGTTCGCTCTGGAGCCCCATCCTTCCTGAGCGAAGACAAAAGTGTGGGAGCCGGAGGCTAAAAAAACTGTGAGCTGGCTCACACTGACTCAGCTTAGAGGGAACACTGGTTAGGTTTCCCTCCTAGCTTTTCCATAAGCGCAAGGAGGCAGGAGAAGGCGGTCCATCAGTTCAATGGATCTCAGCTAGCAGGGCTGGAAAGATCTATGGAGAGCTTGGGCATCCATTGACTTTTAACTGGAGATGCCGGGGACTGAACTGGGGACATTCTGCATGCCAAGCAGAGGCTCTGCCACTGAGCCACAGCCCCTCTTGACAGCTCTCTGGGGTCTCAGGCAGAGGTGTTTCACATCACCTCCTGCCTGGTCCTTTTAACTGGAGATGCCGGGGATTGAACTGGGGACCTTCTGCATGCCAAGTAGAGGCTCTGCCACTGAGCCACAGCCCCTCTTTACAGCTCTCCAGGGTCTCAGGCGGAGGTCTTTCCCATCACTTACTGCCTGGTCCTTTTAACTGGAGATGCCAGGGATTGAACCTGGGACCTTCTGCAGGCAACACAGCGGCTCTTCCATCGAGCCACGGCTCCTACCCTGAAAAGAGACTTGGGGGGAGGGAATAGTCTGGTGAGACCTACCTGAGATTCCTGCACGGCTCTTCCACTGAGCCACAGCTCCTACCCTGAAAACAGACTTGGGGGGAGAGAATCGTCTGGTGAGACCTACCTGAGATTCCTGCAGTAAAGGAGCTGCGACAGAAGGCTCTGCAAGGCGTGGTAACTGAGGCAGCTGGACAGATTGGCCTCTTCACTGCAGACCTCCGACGTCTGCAGGAGGTAAGCCAAGGCAGACAAATTGGCCGGCGTCAGCTTCCCAGCCAGGCTGTCAGTCTTCAGAGCTTCCTCTAGGTGGGTGGCGATCTCCACCCGCTGGATCTCGTGCAAGCACCGCACGAGGTTCACGGTCCTGCAGGAGACCGCCTGGTCCACGGCCAGGAGGCCCTGAAGCACGCCGACCACCTGGCTCCGGTAGCCGTGATGCTCGTCCCTTGCCAGGAGCCAATCGGAGAGGGCCTTGTTCACCTGCGGAGACAGGAGGCCGGCGAGGAAGCGCACGAAGATGTCTAGGTGCCCGTCCTCGGACTGCAGCGACCTCTGGAGGGCGTTCTTGACGTGGTTGAGGAAGCCCAGCTTGGGCCAGGACATGCCACTCTCGACGAAGAGATCGAAGAGGGCCCGTTTGGCCGAGGCGTAGTAATAGGTGGCCGCCAGGAACTCCTGGAACGTCAGATGGGGGAAATAATAGACAGGGGACGAGGGCGCCTCTTCCTTGAGGAGCAGCCTGTTGCACAAGCCGAGGTGGAGGGAGGAAAGGTCGACGCCGTACGCTTTCATGTCCTGTTCGTAGAAGACGTGCTTCCTCTTGATCAGACTGTAAAACGCCAGCCTGCCCAGGCAGTTCATCATCTTCTTGCTGTTATTGTTCGCGGCCTGTTCTATCCTGGGGGTCTCCTTCTGCTTGGCCTGCCCGTCACCGCACAGCACCATTTTGAAGTAATAGGAATAGATTTCGGACAAAGTCTTCGGAAGGGCCGCTGCGTCCAGTGAGCGGTCGGCGCTCTTCAGAACGTAGCCCACGGCAGAGCCGCAGATGCGGCAGAAAGACGGCACGGTGCAGAGGGTGTGCAAAGACCGGTTGGCTCTGAGATGGTCCCTCACGCCGTCGGAGAGGTCCTGGCTCCCAACAAACAGCTGGTCCAAGAAGCCTCTGATCTCCGCATCTCCGAACCCTTGGATCTCAGTCATCCGGTCCACCAGTCCGCCCGGGATCTGGCCCGCTGCCGTAGGCCGAGAGGTGATCCACACGCAAACCTCCCGTAGGAGGTGGCCTCGGATGATGTTGGTGATCAGGTAGTCCACTTGGATCTCCTTCTGGAGGTCCGTGCAAACGACGGTGTCCGAAAAATCCAAGGGTGTCTTAAATTCGTCCAGGCCGTCCAAAATCAGAAGGGTCCTGGACGTGCCCACCGAGAGAAAGCTCGATTCGGTCAAGTGAGGGGAGGCCAGTCGGATCAGCCTCTCCCCCGAGAGCTTGTCGTAGGTGTTCAGCTCTCGGAAGGTCAGAGGCAGCACAAATTCAAATTCCTTCCCGGTCTCCCCCTTGGCCCAAGTATGGACAAACAGCCTGACCAACGTGCTCTTGCCGAGGCCGGCCCCTCCGACGGTCACCAAGATGCGTGGGGGGATGCTGAATTTGGACAGCGGCAGGAACAGTTTCTCCAGCGGGATCTTCCTCGCGGAGTGGCTCATGCCTCTGGTGACCTCGACCTGTACGAAATCATGTTGCTTCTGCTGCAGATCGGTCAGCCCTTCCACCAGGAGGAGGTTGCTCAGTCTCTCCAGGGGACCGAGATCTGTGCTGGCGCCGCACCAGTTCTGAAGAGTCTCCATGTGCTTCGGTACCATTGGCTCTGCGGAGAGAGAAGTCAAGAGAAGAACAGAGGGAAAGACCTTGAGGAATGTCACATGACCCTTTTTAACCCGTTTTGAAGCCGTTTTTGAGCCGTCGTGGAGTAAACCGGTATAGGGCTGCCATTTCACACATGGCTTTCCCCTTCCGGTAAAGAGCTGGATCTGAAGCGGTTTGCCATTTCAGACGGCACCGCTTTTTCCCCACCGTTTTTCGCCCGCACAGGCGATCTCTGGCTTTTTTTTTTGAATGTTTGCTTTATAGCGCTATAACGCTATAGCACTATAACAAAACACTCCAGGCATTCCAATGGGCTTGATATACTGCTGTTCCGTTATAGCACTAACTGGTATAGGGCTGCCATTTCACACATGGCTTTCCCCCTCCTGTAAAGAGCTGGATCTGAAGCGGTTTGCCATTTCAGACGGCACCACTTTTCCCCCGCCGTTTTCCGCCCACGCAGGCGATCGCTGGCTTTTTAAAAAATGTTCGCTTTATGGCACTATAGCACTATAACAAAACACTCCAGGCACTCCAATGGGGTTGATATACTGCTGTTCCGTTATAGCACTATAACGCTATAAAGCAAACATTTTTTAAAAGCCAGAGATCGCCCACGCAGGCGAAAAACGGCGGGAAAAAGCGCATCGGAACCGGGAGAGGAAACTGAAGACTACTTGGAAGCGGTTGACAGGTAAAATGCTTCAGCCCCGTTTCCTAAACGGGACAGAAGCGTTTGTGTCTGAAATTACAAATATATTCCGGTAGGGAGCCGGTTCTAAAACGGTTCTGTCCGAAATGACAGACCAGAAACCGTTTGGGAACCGTTCCTCTTCCGGATTATATTGTCTGTCTGAAATTCCTCCTTGTGTAGAAGTGCCGGATATGGGATTCCCCTTCCCTGCCCGACCCACCCCACTTTGGCCTGAATTGGAGAGGTTTCCCAGAATTCCAAAAGAGGATCATTCAATGCTGCCCTTGGTGGAAAACGAAGGACCATTTCACAGTCTGCGTATGTAATCAGGAAGGGCTCCAGGGTTGTTTATAAGGAGTGAGCTGAATCGATGACATCACTTACACAGGGACGAAGCCCCAGAGTATTTAAGTGGAAACAGTCTTGGCCTACAGAACACAGCTCTGCTGGGAAAAGGTGCCATCGAATCTGCACACGATATAAGAATGGGAAACTGCAAACACTGTCGATGAGAGGATTCATATTCAAGTATTATTTTCCCAAATTCACAGCACTGGTTAGAGGCAATGACTGGGGTGGGGGGTTGACAGATCTTAGGGTTGCCAGCTCCAGGTCTGGGGATTTGGGGGGTGGAGCCTGAGGAAGGAGGGGTTTGAGGAAGGGGGATGAGGGGCTTCAGTGGGGCTATAACGCCATAGACGCCGCCTTCCAAAGCGGCCATTTTCTCCAGGGGACCTGACCTCTGTTGCCTGGAACCATTTGTAACAGCGGGAGATCTCCAGTCATTCCCTGGAGGCTGGCAACCCTACATCCAGTTTCTTTTCCAGTGGAAACTACCCGTCTACTTACCACCCATTAAAGGTTTGCTGGGACCATCAGCTGGAGTTCCTTATTGGCCGCAGGCGGTGGACGAAGGTCTTATCCTTCGATCTCCCATGCATGGGTGTCCTTCAGTTCACACAGTCCTGTCTGGTTACATGGTGGGTGTTCCCAGATTAGTCTTTGTTCGTGGCTCTGATGGAAAGGAAGGAAGCTTCAAAAGAGGGGCAGAGCACAGGGAGGGACAGAGAGCACTCGCCGACTTCAACCATCAACTGTGTATCATCTGGTTCCAGCTCCAAGAACTCCTTCCTTAATACTCTCCCTAACCTTTGCCTCAGCCTCCTTCCTTCCCTCCATCCCTCCATCCCTCCCTCCCTCGCTCCATCCCTCCTTCCTTCCTTCCCTCCCTCCTTCCCTCCATCCTTCCTTCCCTCCTTCCCTCCCTCCTTCCTTCCCTCCTTCCCTCCCTCCTTCCTTCCCTCCTTCCTTCCCTCCTTCCTTCCTTCCCTCCATCCTTCCTTCCCTCCCTCCTTCCCTCCATCCCTCCTTCCCTCCATCCCTCCTTCCTTCCCTCCCTTCTTCCCTCCTTCCTTCCTTCCCTCCTTCCTTCCTTCCCTCCATCCTTCCTTCCCTCCCTCCTTCCCTCCATCCCTCCTTCCTTCCCTCCTTCCTTCCTTCCCTCCCTCCCTCCTTCCTTCCCTCCCTCCATTCTTCCTTCCTCCTTCCCTGCCTCCTTTCAGCTTCTCTAAACGTGAAGTCTGCACCAAGCGGGTTGCTCAAAACCAGCTCACGTATGTTAATGCAATCTTAGGATGCATTCACAGAAACATTGTGTCCAGATCACGGGAGGTGGTAATAATAATAATAATAACAACAACAACAACAACAACAACAACAACAACAACAACAACAACAACAACAACAACAACAACAACAACAACAACAACAACAACAACAACGATGACAACGACAACTACAATAATAATAATATCATCATCATCATCATCATCTTTCAATTTATTAATCGCTCAATCCTGCAGAGCTGCTGGCTCTGAGCGATTTACAGTTACTCAAATACACATGGGACTAACAATGATTCAAAGGGGTAAGG